GATTATGAATACAATCTTCTGCTTGTTTGTATTTTCCATATTCCTAAAATGAATACACATTATTGTTGCTAAAATAATAAAATTTTATAACTAAAAAGCAGTAACCTATAGCATTTATCTGTTTATTTCTGAAAGTACTGAGGCACTTATTATTCATTGACCAAATATTAGAAACAAATGTGAACTTCAAAGTACCACCAGATCACTTGGCTGAAACATTAAATTTTACATCTTTTCTCATCAGTAAAATAACAATCTCACAGGAATCTCATAGGAGCCAAATTAGGTAATTACTGAGAACAGTTTGAGAGGGCTTTGCCTCCATTTGCTCATGCAGAATCCAAACTCCCTAAGATTTGTTTCAGCTATTTGGAAGGATGGAGAGAGTAGTTTCTCACCTCTATAATGCTTTTTTTTTTGGGGGGGGGAGGGGTGCTCTTCATGCCTCCAGAACATACTTCAAGGTTACAACAGTCCTACAGATGCTGGTGGGGTTGGAATTCAAGGTGGAGTGAGATAAATTTCAGGTGCAGGAAAAGGCAGCCACCTGTTGTTCAGAAGGGGAGTGATCAGGTAGGATGAGGAAGGGCTCCCCCAAGTCATACTCCCCTCTGGTGGGTGTGACTTTTGTTTCTCTGCCTCTGGGCTGTTTGCCAGGCTGTCCTAGACAGGTTTGTGTAGAGGAGGACAACAATCTCCTTTGCAGGTCAGAGTTCTAAACTTCCTTTCCCCTTTTTCCTTCTCAGGAGGGGCTTGAAGGGAACTTTTTTTTTTTTTTTTAAAGAGAGAGAGAGAATTTTTAATATTTATTTTTTAGTTCTCGGCGGACACAACATCTTTGTTGGTATGTGGTGCTGAGGATCGAACCCGGGCCACATGCACGCCAGGCGAGCGCGCTACCGCTTGAGCCACATCCCCAGCCCCTTGAAGGGAACTTTTTATAAGGAACAACATAGTACTTCAAAATTCACTAATGAGAAACAGTAGTAGTGGTAGTCTTTGTCCCAGACATGACTGCTCTGGATGTAATCAGATAATTAGGGTTTAAAGTAGCAGGGCCTGATGGTAGGGTAAGATGATTATTGATAGTACACAAATATTGTAAATTGTAATGTTCATGTACTAAATTGTTAAAAAATGATTTCAGTTTAAAGCAAGTGATGTTAGTTTAGATTTGGGTGATGTTATAAAATTTCCTTTCCAAAAATTATTAAAATTTCATAAATGAGTCAGTTTGAAGTAGAACACAATATTAATAGCATGGGTGATACACAGATATGGCAAATTCATCCTGGTAGGAAACAGTTCCCTAGCATAATTACTTTAGGGCTAATGTCTGCAAACACTTGCCAAGAACGGAAGAATCTGAAGTTTTACCCTACTTAAAGCTAACAACTTAGCCTGCTACCTTTTAATGGATGCTGGCAGAAGACCTAGACTTCTGGGTCAGAGATTAAGGGCATTATTACAGCAAAAGCAATAGGCAGAGATTCGTGTTGGTTTGTATTGGCTCCCTTTGATTGCCAAATCGCATGGGTCAACATGGGACCCATGATGAATGCTTGAACATGCAGTGTTTTGCATGACAGGAAAGAAACCCTGAGTTTGGGGAACTGCCTGTATTCATAGTAAGCAGAAGCAAGCATGCTCTCTCTTCAGGGAAAGATGTTTCTCCAGCCCTCAAGGTTACTTGCTGCAAACCCACTTGAAAAATTATCTGCCTCAGCGAAGAATGGTCATACATTCTTCTCATACCCAATAAGAACATGCAGGGACACTCAGTCTTTGGCAGATTGCCACTCCCAATAACAGTTTTCTTAGTACAATAAATCCTAATGTCAATTGCAAGCATTAAGATAAACAGTCATTAGCCAAGCATGGTGGCGCACGTCTGTAATCCCAGGGGCTTGTGAGGTTGAGGCAGGAGGAACACAAGTTCAAGGCCAGCCCTTGGTGAGGCCCTAAGCAACTTAGCAAGACCCTGTCTCAAAATAAAAAAGAAAGGCTAGTGTTGTGACTCTGTGGTTAAGTACACCTGGGTTCAATCCAAGATACAAACAAACAAAAACACAAGAAAAAAGAAAAACAGTCATTGAAGAACTTTAAAATTACAATAAGACAAAACTACCATGGCATTCCTAAATAAAAGAGGTAGAAGGGCAAAGTCAATGGATTCATCAGAAAAAAAACACCAAAGACAAGAGTAATCTTACGCAAAAATTTTTACTAGGAAACTGACAGGAGGATGTGTGTTTGAAAATCAACCCCAGATCCCATATACTAACCTCAACGTAGCCTCTGTGAAAAGGAAAAACTAAAAGAAAAGCTTTTCTGTTCTCTCTTCAAGGAAAGTTCAAAGTAGGGTAAAGGCCAGAAAAGGGGGAAGTTCACTCACATCACAGTACTGAAAAGCAGTTATTTGATATTCTGTCACTGGTATTTTGCAATAGCCTTAGGAAAACATACTTGCACAACTGGATGGATAACTTAGTTGGGTAGAGAGCATCTTTTCATGTGCTCTTTGGCCATTTGCATATTTTTACTTTGAGAAATGTTTATTTAAATCTTTTGTCCACATCCTTCTTACCATTTTCAATATAGTGTTGGAAAGTATCTGTTTAAAGAAAGAGGTAGGGGGGCCAGAGTTATGGCTCAGTGGTAGAGTGCTTGCCTAGCATGTGTGAGGAACTGGGTTTGATCCTTGGCACCACATAAAAATAAACAAATAAAATAAAGGTATTGTATCCATCTACATCTAAAAAATTATTTTAAAAAAAGAAGGAGGTAGGGCTGCAGATGTAGCTCAATGCAGATGTAGCTCTTGTCTGGCATATACAAGGCCCTGGATTTGATTCCCAGCATTGCAAAAATAAACGAATAAACAAAGGAATTAGGTAGATTTGTGCGTACGTACTATGTGTTCACCATACATCGTTAAAGAATGAAGGATAAGAGGTACAGCACAATACATATACATGTCCACAACTATCAAGATGACTAAAATGAGGGATCATTTATTTTTAAGTGGCAGTTTAGTATCTCACCAGGCCTCCTTTGTTCTGGTTGTTTAGGAAAAATAATTATTTTTAAAACTTTTCCTAATGTGTAATCCTATTATCCTTACATTTTAATTATCAAATTAGTTCTTGAACTTAAACCAAGTCCTTCCCTTCCATGAATTCTGAGTTCTTTTCTAGCTGTTTTATCATTAATGTATTGTTTTATGGAAAAGGAACAAGAGATTTAGCCAAGATTTTCCAACTATTAAATGGAATCTCTGCCTAAGGTAAAAGCCCTTGCTCTTAATCACTACTCTGAAACAGCAAGTATTTAATAAATGATAACAAACGTGCTATGCTGAAGGAATTCTATCAGTTCCTCAAAGCTCCATTCTTTTTCAACCCTTCATATTGGTTTCCATAATTCTCCCTGCCTGAACCTAAAATGGAGTTCTTGCTGAATAGGCCACAACCATCTACTGGATATTTAATAAAACAATGGTTTACAATTGTAAATATGTACATTTTCATCTCAGAAGTATTTATCAAAGACCTAAGAGCTATTCTCAAAAATGTAACCCTCAGTAGAATAAAACCTCTGTCTCCAAGACTCCATGGGAGAATAAAATCCTAACTTTAAAAGTTACCAACCAACAAACACAACTGGGGTATTCTTATTTACACACTAACTGATTCTGTAATTTTTATTTCTCTGACTCAGCCCTAGTGCTCAGCCTTAGATATTTGCTTTTGGTTGACTTTAAAAGTCAATAACTCTGGAGGTCACACAGCTTAGCTATATGTTATTAGTATACCACTAGCTTTGCTATAGATAATACCTCTGACGTGTGGGTCATGATGACAGGATGCCTAGGTTATTTTTTTCAGGAACTGGAAGGCCATTTTTGTGAAAACCACTAACTCTTCACTTGGGCCTATGCAGGGATCCAATGGGTGATCTTTTGGTGTCAGGAGGCCAAAAACTCCACCCTCAGATAATGCGTATGCCACCATTTTCTGAACATATTTCCCATGAAAAAGCCATGAAGATTTACTATACATGTTCAGACCACTGATTACTTCATCTCTGATCACTTTTCCCCATATCTTAAACTACCCTGTTTCTTTACACAGTAAACATCCTCAAAACCTATCCTCAGGGAGGTGAAATTTGAGACTTCTCTTTCCTACCCTCATGCTTGGCTGCCTTATAAACAAACTCTTTCTCTTCAGCAAAACTCATTGCTTCAGTGATTGACACACTGTGTGGAAGGCAAAAAGGTCCTGGTTTGGTAAATACACTTAGCCTGAATAATTCCTACTCATCTATCCCAGAATAAATGTTACTGATTTTATGACATATTTATTGAGATACAATTCACATACCAATTCACTCACTTGAAGTCTATAGTGCAAGGAACTTGAGCACATTCACAGATATGTGTAAACATCACGCCAATCAATTTTAGTACATTTTCATCAAGGGAAAAAGAAACATTATAACCTTAGCTGTGACTCTTCCATGCCGCATGTCCTGTATGTACGTATAAAATATGGTATCACATATTAATTAGCATAATATATTTAAGTTTCATCCATGTTGTAGCATCTGTCAGCACCTCATTCCTTCTTATTGCCAAATGTTATTCTATTTGATGGTTAGTCCACATTTTGGATATGTATACTGGCAAGGATATGGAACTATAGAATCTCTCATTTATTGCGGGTGGTAATGCAAAATGGTACAGCCAGTTTGGAAGACATTTTGGCAGTTTCTTACAAAGACAAACATGCTCTTGCCATATGATCCATAGAAGCCTTTTCTGTGGTATCTTGCATCTAGACACCGTCACAGGAAGTTTTTGTTGCTGTTTGGTATTTATCAAAATGAACTGAAAAATTATGTCTACACGAAAACCTGAACACAGATGTTTATTGTAGTTTTATTCATAATTGTAAAAAACTGGAAGCAATAAAGATAAACTTCAATGAGTAAATGGATAAGTAAACTGAGGTGCATCAATATGATGGAATATAATTTGGCACTAAAAAGAAATGAGCTATTAAACCATAAAAAGATGTGGTGAATACTGGGGATGTACTTCACTGATAGAATACTTGCCTAGTATGCACAATCCTTGGCATTGCCAATAAATAAAAGACTTGAAGGAATTGTTTTTATTTTTAAAGAGAGAGGGAGAGGGAATTTTAATATTTATTTTTTAGTTTTCGGCGGACACAACATCTTTGTTTGTATGTGGTGCTGAGGATTGAACCTGGGCCGCAGGCATTCTAGGTGAGCGCGCTACCGCTTGAGCCACACCCCCAGCCCAAACTTGAAGGAATTGTAAATGATGACTACTAAGTGAAAGGAAATTATATGAAGACGCTACCCATTTTATGATTCCATGTGACATTCTGGAAAAGGGATGGAAAAAAGATAAGGATTACTAAAGGTCGTGGGGCAAGGTAGGGTTCAAAGGTGAAGCACAGATGGTTTTAAAAGCAATGAAACTTGTCTGTATGATACTATAATGATGGGTACATGTTTTAGGCAGCGTTTTCATTGCTGTAACCAAAAGATGTATCAAGAACAATTAGACAAGGAACAGTTTATTTGGCTCATGTTTTCAGAGGTCTCAGTCCACAGACATTTGACTCCTGATTCTGGGACTCAGATGAGGCAGAACATCATGGCAGAAGAGTGTGGTGGAAGGAAGTAGCTCAGAACATGGGAACAGGAAGCAGAGAGTGCTCAGTTCACCAGGGAAAAAAACATAAACCCCAAAGGCACAGCCCCAGTAACCTATTTTCTCCAGCTATATCTTATCTTCTTGCAGTTACCACTGAGTTAATTCATTCAAATGGATTAACACATTGATTAAGTTAAGGCTCTCATGACCCAATCATTTCACCTCTGGAAATTCTTGCATTATACTCATGAGCTTTTGGGGGACACCTCATATCTAAACCATAACTGTATGTCATTATACACTTAGAAAATCCCATAGAATTGTGAACACCAAGAGTAAACACTAATGTAAACTAAGGACTCTGAGTGATAATGATGTTTCAGTGTAGCTCATTAACTGTAACGAATGCACTATTCTGTTTAGAATGTTTACAGTTGGGGAGGCTGTGTGTAGGATCAGGATAATATGGGAATTCTTTATAATTTCTGCTCAAATTTCCTATAATTTGAAAACTGCTCTGAAATAAAGTTTATTATTTTAAAATCCCCTCTTTATCTCTAGTAACATATTTTGTTTTATAGTCTACTTTGACTTACATTAGTATAGCCACTTCAACTTTTTTATTTGCCCTTTTATTTTCAATCCATTTTTAAATTTTCATACTGGAGATCCACTCCATGCCCTACCACTGAGCTATATCACCAATCCCTATTTTTTTCCCAGACAGAGTCTCAGTAATTTGCTGAGGGCCTCATTAAGTTGCTGACACTGGCCTCGAACTTGCAATCCTCCTGCATCAGTCTCCTGAGTAATATTTTCAATCTATTTGTATCTTTGAACCTAAAGTGTGTCTCCTATAGATAGAATATAATTGAATTTTTAAATATATTTTAGTTGTCAATGGACCTTTATTTTATTACTTATTTTTATGTGTTGCTGAGAATCAAATCCAGTGCCTCACACATGCTAGCAAACACTCTACCACTGAGCCACAACCCCAGCCCCTATAATTGGTTCTTTTTTTTTATCAAGTATGACGATCTCTACCTTATGTTCAGATTGTTAATACATTGACAACATTAGTATTAATATAGTTTCATTTAAGTCTGCCATTTTTTTTGCTTTCTGTCTCATATATTTGTTCCTCTATTCTTTTTTTCATCTTTCTTTTGCATTACCATGATTTCTAATGAATCATTTAAATTTATTACTGCTTTTTACATTGTGTTTATTTTTATGGTTGTGCTAGGAGGACTTACTGTATACATCTTCACTTATCAGAATCACAATCCTATTTTCATTATGTTAATTCTAGTGATACATAGAAATGTTGCTCCTATACATTTTACCTAATTTTGGGGTATTATTTTCATACATATTATATCTATCTGCCGCAGTCTGGCTGGGCACAATTCAGGAGCCACTTGTCAAAAGAAACTAACTTTATTTTTAGAACCACACAGGCCAAAAAAAAAAAAAAAAACAGCTCCTCAGGAAAAACCTTCAGAGCCCAACTGCCACCACGGGCTTCTCACAAGCCTCTCTACCTCCAGCACTCCTCCTGCTCTTGAGGCCTATTGGGTGGGTCGAGTGGGCGGAGCCAAAAAGTCCCCCAATGAGCAGCTCCGTGGTCTGAAAGGGCAGGGAAACAGCCCAATGAGCATCACCGCAGAGGAGCCAATCAGTTGGCAGCTAGAAGTTGCTGGGGCCGCTGTGAGCCAATCATCATCTGGCAGCTGGAAGTTTGCTGGCAGCTGGAAGTTTGCTGGGGCCCCTTTGGCTGTGGCTCTCAACATCTATCAATGTTAAAACCCAGTAATGCATCATTATAATTGTCATGTCACTTTCTGTAATTTCCCCCCTTACTTTGCATGCCATGATTTTATTCTGAAATTCCTTCCTTTTCCTGTCCCTCCTCCCTCCCACTTTATATACTGCTTTGCTCCCATCTACCCTCTTTGCCTTGTTATTGGCAAATACATTACAATTACATTATAGTTCTATATGTTATAGGCCTAACAATACATTATAAATATATTATTTTATGAAAATATTTTAAAATCAATTAATAGAAAAAAATCCTCGGAATACACTCACATGTAAAAGTGTGCCCTCAGGGCTGAGGGTGTAGCTCAGATGAAGAGTACTTGACTAATAAGTGTGAGGCCCTGGGTTTGATCCCCAGCACCACAAAAAAGTATACTCCATTTCTATAATTACACGTTATCTTTGCTGCTGTTTCTTTTCTTTTCTTTCTTTTTTGTTGTAGAATTTGAATTATCATCTGAGGTTACTTGCTTTCAGCCTACAGATCTTCAGTATTTTTTATCTCTAGTAACATGTTTTTTTTGCACAACTCCTTTCAGTTTTTGTCTTTCTGGAAATGTCTTCATTTCACCTTCAATTGTTTAATATTTTTATTTTTAATACTTTTATTAGTGCATTATAGCCCTTGATCTCCTTAATCTACTCCACCGATCTTACCTCTATCTTTATGATATCTGAACCCTTACTTTTCCCCCTTACTTTGCATGCCATAATTTCATTCTGAAATTCCTTCCTTTTCATATCCCTCCTCCCTCCCACTTTATCCCCTTACTCCACTCCACTGATATCCCTTCTATTTTCATGAGATCCCCACACCATTTCCCTTATTTCCCTCTAGCTAGCCCATATGAGAGAAAACATTCAACTTTTGACTTTCTGAGTCTGGTTTATTTCACTTAGCATTGATATTCTCCAGTTCCATCCATTTACCAGCAAATGACATAATTTTATTCTTCTTTGTGGCTGAGGAAAACTCCATTGTGTATGTATACCATATTTTATTTATCATTCATCTCTTTTTTAATATTTATTTTTTAGTTGGAAACAATACATTTTATTTTATTTTTTTATGTGGTGCTGAGGATTGAACCCAGTGCCTCATGCATCGCTGGTAAGCATTCTTCCTCTGAGCCACAACCTAGCCCTATCATTCATCTCTTGATGGGCACCATAACTAGGTAACTATAAATTGAGCTGCTATAAACATTGATGTGTATGAATACTAAAGTACATTGATTTTATTTTATTTTATTTTTTGGATAAGTATCAAAGAGTCAGATAGTTGGGTCATATTGTGGTTCCATTCCTAATATTTTAAGGAATCTTCATACTGCTTTCCAAAGTGGTTGTACTAATTTACAGTCCCACCAAAAGCGTAGGAGTATACCTTTGCCCCCACCCACATCCTCGCCAGCACTTACTATTATTGTGTTCTTGATAATTGCCATTCTGACTGGAGAGAGATGATATTTCAATGCAGTTTTAATTTGCATTTCCCTGATTGCTAGGGATGTTGAACCTTTTTTATATATTTGTCATTCGTTTGTGCTTCTTTT